TTAGCAAGCATTATCTGTATGGGAATAAGCTAGAAGCCTTTCCAATAAGATCAGGAGTGAAGCAAGGATGCCATTATCACCAGTATTATTCAATATTGTTCTAGAAATGCTAGCTATAACAAAACAAGAAAAAGAAATTGAAGGAATTAGAAAAGGCAAGGAGGAAACAAAACTATCACTCTTTGTAGATGTCATGGTATACTTAGAGAATCCTAGAGAATCAACTAAAAAGCTAGTTGAAATAATTAATTGCAGGATATAAAATAGACCCACACAAATCATCAGCATTTCTATGTATTACCAATAAAGTCCAGCAGAAAGAGATAGAAAGAGAAATTTCATTTAAAATAACTGTTGACAATATAAAAACTTGGGAGTCTACCTGCCAAGAGAAACCCAGGAACTATATGAACACAATTATAAAATACTTTTTACACAGATAAAGTCAGATCTAAACAACTGGAAAAATATTAATTGCTCAGGGGTAGGCTGAGCCATTATAATAAAAATGACAATTCTACCTAAATTAATTTCCTTATTCAGTGCCATACCAATCGAATTACAAAAAAAAAAGTATTTTATAGAGCTGGAAAAAAAATAATAACAGACTTCATCTGGAAGAACATAAGGTCAAGAATATCAAACGAATCAATGAAAAAAAAAGTGAAAGAAGGTAGCTTAGCAGTACCAGATCTCAAACTGTGTTACAAAGTAGTAATCATCAAAAAAAAATCTGATAGTGGCTAAGAAATAGAGTAGTGGGTCAGTGGAATAAATTAGGCATACAACGAACAGTGGTAAATGATCTTAGTAATCTAGTGTTTGACAAACCCAAAGACTGAAGATTTTGGGAGAAGAAATAACTATTTTTTAAAAATTGCTAGGAAATCTAGAAGTCAGTTTGGCAGAAACTAGGTATGCACCAATATCTTCACACCATATATCAAGAGAAGGTCAAAATGGGCACATGATTTAGATGTAAAGGGTGATATATCAGGAACAAATATGGGGAACATGGAATATTTTGCTTGTTGGATCTATGACTAAGGGAAGAATTTATGACTAAACAAGAGATAGAGAGCATGATGGGACATAAAATGGATAATTTTAATTACATCAAATTAAAAAGATTTTGCACAAATAAAACCAGTGCAGCCAAGATTAGAAGTAAAGCAGGAAACTGGGGGAATTTTTTTTTGCAGCAAATTTCTCTGATTAAGGCCCCATTTCTCAAATATATAGAGAACTGAGTCAAATTTATAAGAATACACATTATAACTCAATTGATAAAGGATATGAACAAGCAGTTTTCAGAAAAAGAAATCAAAGCTATTGAAAAAAAGAACTCAAAGCTCTCTATAGTCACATGAAAAAAGCATTATTAATTAGAGAAATGCAAATTAAAACAACTTTGAGGCACTACCTTCCACCTATCAGCTTGGTTAATATGATAGAAAAGGAAAATGACAATGTTGGAGGGGGAGGAGGGGATGTGGAAAAATAGAGACACTAATGCTCCATTGGTAGAGTTGTGAACTGATCCCACTATTCTGGAGAACAATTTGGAACTTTGTCCAAAGAGTTATAAAACCAGTAGAGAACCTGCGGCCTTGAGGCCACATGTGGCCTTAGGTGCAGCCTTTTGACTGAGTCCAAGTTTTATATAACAAATCCTTTTATTAAGGGGATTTGTTCCATGAAGTTTGGATTCAGTTAAAGGGCCACACTTGAGGACGTAGAGGGCCACATGTGGCCTCGAGGTGGCAGATTCCTCACCCGTGGTACATACCCTTTAACCCAGAAATACCATTACTAGGTCCGTACCAAAAAGAGATCAAAGAAAAAGGAAAAGGACCTATATATACAAAATAATAATAGCAGCTCTTTTTAGTGGTGGCAAAGAATTAGAAATTGAGGGAATGAATGCCCATCAATTGGGGAATGGCTGAACAAGCTGCAGTGTATGATTTTGATGGAATATTATTATGCTATAAGAAATGAGGAGCAGAATGCTTTCAGAAAAATCTTGAAAGACTTACATGACCTGATATAAAGTGAAGTAAGCAGAACCAGAACTTTGCATACAGTAATAGCAATGTTGTACAGTAATCAACTGTGAATGACTTAGCTGTTCTCAGCAACACAATGATCCAAAACTATTCTGAAGGACTCATAATGAAAAATGCTGTCCATCTCCAAAGAAAGAGCTGATGGAGTCTGAATACAGATTGAATCATATTTGTTTAAACTTTATTATCCTTGGTTTTGGTTTTTGGTTTTTGTTTTGGTCTACATTATCTTTTCTCACATGGCTCCTTCTCAAGGAGGGGGGAAAGGGAGGGAGGGAGAAAATTTGAAACTCAAAATTTTGAAAAATGAATGTTAAAATTTTTTGTTTACATGTAATTGAGAAAATTACATTTTAAAAAGGAGATAGTATTTACATTGGGCTCTAAATGACAAGTTAGAATTCAATAGATGAAAAGGGAAAGGGGTCAACACAAATCACAAAGATAGGTTTCAGTAGGGCTGTCTGATGATGCTATTACGGGAGAGACTAAGAATTGATTAAAGATACACAATATGGAGAGAGGTGGTTCACTCCGTTCAAGTAAAAATAGAGAGATACTCCCGTGGACCCTAGTATAAAGGCATATTTTCAGTCCACATAGGTCATGATTCTTAGGAAGACTCAGGTGTTCTCAATCATTGTCAAATACCTCCTTGAGTTGTATTTCCCAAGGGCATTTCCTCAGCCCTCCCTAATCAGGAATTTGAAGATCTCCACTGAGAACAGCTTTCCAGATTGTTCTGACAACTTTGATCCCCTTTGTCTTGTTCTACTTCCTGCTCCTCCCCAGAATCAGCACCCTGACTATGGTTATCATGTCATTTTCGTCTCTTACCTTCCCCTAACCTTGCCATAGTTGGCAAACAGAAATGGGTTACAAGCCCGGCCCTTTCCTTATCCAAATGAAGTATAAATGTTTCAGGTAGCTATGAAGTGAAAGAGAAATCATAAAAGAGAAGAGCATCTGTGGAAGGAACCGAAAGAACCCAGGTATCTGGTCTCAGACACTACCCTCCCTTCTCCTTCCCTTTCTATCCCTCTATGCTCTGGGGACCACAGCATCCAGTTCTGTAGGTTCAGCTCTCTGCCTGTGTTCTCTCTTCTCTCCAAGAACTCCCCTTGTTCTCCTTCTCCCTTCTCCAGAAGCTCCAGAGGATTATCTTGAGATGAATACTGAAAAGTTTGCCCTCACATGTTGGCTGCTATTATTGCTTCTTCTTGGACTCTCGGCCAATGGTGAGTGATTTGCTTTGGGTAGAAGGTTCTAATGGATCATTGAGGTTCTCAGATATATGTATATAGATAGATAGATATAGACACAGATATAGATATAGGTATAGATATAGATATAGATCAGAGGGATTTTCATAGTCCTGCTCTCATTTCCTCCCCCACTTTAAAGTATTATTAATTTCTTCCAGGAACACTTTAATCTAACAGCCCTTTCCCAAGCCCATAGTAATCAGTATCTCTTCTATAATCCTCAAAATATCTCTATCACAACACACCACCACCTCAGCCCCAAATCTGATCTAACTTCAGGCTTTTTTGTTCCAATCAGAAACAATCTGAATATCTGAATCCTGCTCATTCACTTAACTGAATGTCCGTCTTAATTCTCATGTCAGTTCCCATCTCTCCAAGGGAAGTTTATACTCTGGTGAGGCACACTGGTCCTAGACTAGAAGAGAGGTGGCAGGAAGATATAGCTATGGGGACACAGAATATATGAGAAGAGTGGAAGGTAGGATGAAGAAAGCAGGAACTTTGGGTGTATAAGTCCCTGAAAGGAGTGAGAAGTGTAGGGGTTAGAGAGTCAGGTAAAGTGATTTCTCCATGCCTCAGATTCCTCATCTGTAATAATATTTGTACTTTGCAGTGTTATTGTGAGGATAGCCCTTGTGTTTTCTAATATTAGAGTGCTTAGCATGCTTTTAAGATTCAAACTACTACTGATGATGATGATGATGATGACATGCTGATGACCCCTCTCCCTATTACCCTATGCCTAATTGTACCAGATAAGATACAGGGATTGAACTCAACCTTGCTTTCTAGGACTCTTGCTCTTCGGAGGTCATAGGTCTAGAACTAGAAGGACCCTCAGAAGCCAACTAGTCCAACACTCTCATTTTTCAGATGAGAAAACTGAGACCTAGGGAAGTTAAGTGACTTACTCAAGATCATACAGGTAAAAGTTAGCATCGAGATATGAACCCAGGACTCTAATGCCGAGCCAGTGGTCTTTCAATCAGATTTATGCATTTGATCCGATAAGTGTTTATGAAATCAATAGGTCTAGGACCAGTGATGCTATGTGGTACAAGCAGAAATACATGTTGGAGAACTCCAGAACCTCCTTTTTTACACTTGTCTTTCTACAGCAACTCAACCTCAGCTCCTTTGACTATAAATATAAGCTACAGACTTCACAATCTCTCCTATTGATACAAATGCCAAAACCTTTATCACAGGTTCCATGGGCTACACATCTACTCCCAGCTCCCCAGCCTCTAGTATGAGCTCCACAACTATTTCTGGCTCCCCATCCTCTACTATGGACTCCACAACTATTTCTGGCTCCCCATCCTCAAAAATGGACTCCACAACTATTTCTGCCTCCCCAACCTCTACTATGGACTCCACGACTGTTTCTGGCTCCCCATCCTCAAAAATGGACTCCACAACTATTTCTGGCTCCCCATCCTCTACTATGGACTCCACAACTATTTCTGGCTCCCCATCCTCTACTATGGACTCCACAACTATTTCTGGCTCCCCAACCTCTACTACGGACTCCACAGCCTCTATTATGAGCTCCACAACTATTTCTGGCTCCCCAGCCTCTACTACAAGTTCCACAACTATTTCTGGCTCCCCATCCTCAAAAATGGACTCCACAACAATTTCTGCCTCCCCAACCTCTACTATGGACTCCACGACTGTTTCTGGCTCCCCAACCTCTACTATGGACTCCACAACTGTTTCTTCCTCCCCAGCCTCTACTATGGACTCCACAACTATTTCTGCCTCCCCAACTTCTACTATGGACTCCACAGCCTCTATTACAAGCTTCACAACTATTTCTGGCTCCCCAGCCTCTACTATGGACTCCACAGCCTCTTTTATGAGCTCTACAACTATCTCTGGCTCCTCAACCTCTGCTATGGACTCCACAACTATTTCTGGCTCCCCAACTTCTACTATGGACTCCACATTCTCTATTATGAGCTCCACAACTATCTCTGGCTCCCCATCCTCTACTATGGACTCCACAACTATCTCTGGCTCCCCATCCTCTACTATGGACTCCACAACTATTTCTGGCTCCCCAACCTCCACTATGGACTCCATGACTGTTTCTGGCTCCCCAACCTCTACTATGGACTCCACAACTATTTCTGCCTCCCCAACTTCTACTATGGACTCCACAGCCTCTATTACAAGCTTCACAACTATTTCTGGCTCCCCAACCTCCACTATGGACTCCACAACTGTTTCTGCCTCCCCAACCTCTCCTATGGACTCCACAACTGTTTCTGCCTCCCCAACCTCTACTATGGACTCCACAGCCTATACTATGAGCTTCATAACTATTTCTGGCTCCCCAGCCTCTACTATGGACTCCACAACTATTTCTGGCTCCCTAGCTTCCACTATGGACTCCACAGCCTCTATTATGGGCTCTACAACTATTTCTGGCTCCTCAGCCTCTACTAGGAGCTCCACAACTGTTTCTGGCTCCCCATCCTCTACTATGGACTCCACAACCATTTCTGCCTCCCCAACCTCTACTGTGGACTCCACAGCCTCTATTATGAGCTCCACAACTATTTTTAGCTCTGCAGCCTCTACTACATCCTCCTCAGCTTCTACCACAAGCTCCATACCTATTTCTACCTCCCCAGCCTCTAGTATAGGCTCCACAACTATTTCCAGCTCCCTGACTTCTTCTGTGAGCTCTACAGTTATTTCTGGCTCCCCGGCCTCTACTACTGGCCACACAACCCCTTCTACAGTTTCTGTAACATCTGTCCCTTACTCCACCACCTCGACTCCTGACTCTGCAACCACTGCAATAAGCTCCATGGTCCCTACCAAGGACTCTCCAACTAGAACAGGCTCTCCAACTACTGGGAGAGTGCCCAGTACAAGCAGCGGTGCCCCACCAGTGACACCTGCTCCGCCTCTGGAGCCCTGGGCTATTGCCCTCATCTCTGTTGCCACAATTGTTGGGGTTATGGGTGCTGCCGTTGGATTCTTCTATTGCTTTGTGAGTGTTCAAGTCCTGGGAAACAGGGGTAGGAAGATTTTTGTGGCTGTGGGAAAATAAAGAGGGTATAGGGAGTAGTGAGTGAAAATGCGAGATGGAGAAAACTTTTTAGAAAGACAGTGAAATGAGATAATGTACATAGAAGACCTGAAAAACTGCAATATGCGAATGAGTTTATAATTGTTACTATCATACCATTGCAATACTAATAACAATTAGAAAAGGAATACCTAGAGAGCCAGAGAGACAAAAAAAAGCACCTGATTCCTTCCAGAGAAGATGCGAAAGCAATGATATAGAGGGGTACAAGAGGTTTGAGAGTTCAGACCTGGATTCTAATTCTGGCTCTGTTATTTGTTGACGAGTCATTTACCTTCTCTTGTCTTTAGTTTCCTTATTCATTTAATGAGGGGGTTGGACTATATAACTAACTATATATGGTCCCTTCCAGCACTAATTTCTATGAGTTTGTGATTCTAGTTTATATTCTAGGGCTGGGGAGGGAGGAGAAGGGGTTTAGGAGTTGGGGGAAGAGGCTGGGAGAGGATCATAGGAGGATTCAGCTCTGAAACCAATTACTTTCTTCTGTTTTAGAGAAATATTCTGCACCTGAGAAATCCCGTCCCCATAGCTGTTTATCGTCCTCATGGCCCCACCTTTGGACTGGGCCATGGGGTAAATGGATGGAACCATGGACTTCGACCTAGATGGAGCCGTAATTGGTTCAGGAGGAGACCAGCAGCCACAGCAGCCGTGATGATGAGTGAGAGACACAATGGACCTTGATCCTCAGGACACCAATGGCCCTGGATGGCAGGTCAGCTGACTCCTGAAGGCAATGTGGCAACTTAGAACAAGACAGCTTCCTTTTCCCCAACTCCAGCTTGTGGGTCCTTCTTCCCAGCACTCCTAAGCCTCGTACGGCCCCCACCCCAGAAGACCATGTTTAAACTCTCTCTGTGAGGATGTCCATTCTAAAAACAAATATGTTTATCATATATGGAAGTCAGACTTTTTTAGCGTCTATATCTATCCATCCATTAATTTAATCAACCTATCAACCAATTAAACACCTGTTGTATGTCAAATACTGGGGGTACAAAGACCAAAAAAAAATTTTAAACCTAGCTTCAAAGAGCTTACATGTAACCAAAGTAAATCAAAGCAGTTTTTAGGGGAGCACTAGCAATTAGAGTAATCAGGATATGTAGGAAGTAACATTTCAAATGAACCTTGAAGGAAGCTAAGGATTTGTAAATTTTTAATTTAATTTTTTCAATGAACAAAAATCTATCTTCTCTCCTTCCCACTTTCCTGACCCCTACTGAAAAATAAAGAAAAACAAAATCCAAAGCATGTTAAATCAAGGGTGTTCCCATATTGACCATGTCCAAAAGAATAGATGGCTCCTTTGACTCCCTATGTCCATCATTTGTCTCTCAGGAGATAGGCAGCATTCTTCATCATGAGCCCTCTGGAATCCTGGTTGGGTGTGGTGTTGATCAGAGTTCCCAAATCTTTCAAAAGCTTTTCTTTACATATTGTTGCCATTATAGAAATGGCTGTCTTGGTTCTGTTCACTTCATGCAATGATGTACTTGTATAAAGAAGCTATTATACGAACTATTTTAGTTCATATAATACCTAGCATAAAATGCTATCTATAAATATATGTTATTAATAAACAATAAAATAATAAATAATTACATATTATAAAAATAGTGCTTTAGGGCAGCTAGGTGGCACAGTGGATAGAGCTCTGGCCTTGGAGTCAGGAGGACCTGAGTTCAAATCCGACCTCAGACACTTGACATTTACTAGCTATGTGACCCTGGGCAAGTCACTTAGCCCCAATTGCCTCACCAAAAAGGAGCAGGAAAAGACAGAAAAAATAGAGCTTTAAGATTTGCAGCAAGGGGCAGCTAGGTGGCACAGTGGATAGAGTACCAGCCCTGAAGTCAGGAGAACCTGAGTTCAAATCTGGCCTCAGACCAAACACTTGACACTTACTAGCTGTGTGACCCTAAGCAAGTCACTTAACCCCAATTGCCTAAAAAAACCAAAAAGATTTGCAACAGTCTTTACAAATATTATCTCACTGTATCCTCACCCCCATTTCTAGATGAGGAAACTAAGAACAGCAGAGGTTAAGTGATTTGTTCAGGATCACGCAGGTAGTAAGGGTCTGAGGCAGAATTGGAATGCAGATCTTCCTGATATCCAAGTCCTGTGCTCTGCTATTATACAGGAGTGCGCTGGTAAAATCTCTCTAAAAAATAAACACAGGAAAAAAATGTTCTCAGGACACACTTTAAAGTCTTATCTGCATTATTAACACTATTAACATCATTAATTAATTATTAAGTCTAAACAATCGAGAAAACAGTAAGTTAAGCCCTGGTTTGTAACATTTGGTTTCCAAAGTGTAAGTCTCACACTGGAAATTACCACTGGCTCTGTTCAAACTGGCTTCAGCACACCCCTGCCACTGGGCCACCTACCTGCCTTTATAGACAGTTAAGAAGCACAGTGGGTAGTTCGGTTCCTGTCTTATATGCTTACTAGCTGTGTGACCTTGAGCAAATCACTTAACCTCTCTCAGCCTCAATTTCCTTACCTATAAAATGGGGTATCTACATCACAGGGTTGTTGTGAGACTCTAACGAGATAATAAATGTAAAGCATTTTTGCAAACCTTAAAGTCTTCTATAAGTACTAGTTACTATGATTATTATATACTCATCAGTTTATATACCAGAGTACGTAAGCTAGAAAAAGATTGAAAGAAATAGAAACTTCTAAGTACATATTTGACACCCTTACCACTAAATTCAACTGCTCTTTTACATTGTCCACACTCTTGATCTTTCTTTCTATTTCAAAGAAATCCTCTTTCATTTGTGAAAGGGCTGCTCCCTAACTTAATTTCTACTCTTCCTTAGGAAGGCTTTGTTAGGCTATAAGGATATCAAGAAATTTGAATTTAGGAACTTCCCAGTATAAGAATAATAGAAGAAATTGTTGAGGCAGAAAGTCAACAAGAGGATAGATGTGTTCTCACTGCATGAGTGACATGGGATATGCCCAAGGAGCAATCCATAAGAGATCGCTCACCAGCTCCCAATTGTTCTGAGGGATGATCTTGAAACATTCCTTTGTCCATGAGAGACCATCATTGTTTCAATGACATCATTACCAAGCCAAAGTAAGTATACTGGTCTAGACCAGAGGTTCTCAAACTTATTTGGCCTACTGCCCCCTTTTAAAAAAAATTACTAAGCGCCCCACCCCTGAAATCTACTTTCTTTAACCACTTAATGGTTTTTTGAAATTTGCATCATTTTTTAAAAATGTAAACTATTTTAAAATGACACATCTTAAATTTAATAATTTATTATAAATTTGTGGGGTTTTCCTGCGTTGAAATTTTGATGATGCAATATTGAGTTATATAACCGTATAGTAGCATGTTGTAAACAAGTCATTACACACATATACTCCTGCTGATGCATGCTGGACTTCTCAGCAATGCATGAAATGCTCACCTGTCAACACTTGCTTGTAAAGACTTGTCAATGGACTCCATCACTGTTCAGTTATGACTTGCATTTTGTGTATTTATTTGGAAAATAATGTAATCACTACAACTTGTACTGTTACACAACAGATGAAACACGTATGAACAGTGTTTCAAAATTTTCTTCACTTCTCTTTTCTTTTCTTTTTCTTTATTTTTCCCTTTTTCTCCCCCCCCCTCCCCAAGACAGCGCACAATCTGACATAGGCTTTACATTTACATACCCATTAAACATATTTTCACATTAGTGAAGTTGTAAGTAAAAACTAAAACCAATAGGAGGAACCATCAGAAAGATGAAACAAAACTCAACTGAAGGTAAAAATAAGTGAGAGCGATTCAGCTTCCATAGTTCTTTCTTTGGATGTGGACAGCATTTTCCATCCCGAGGCCTCTGGAGATGTCTTAGATCCTCGTAATGCTGAGAAGGGTTCAGTTTAACATTCTTAGTCATTGCACAACGTGGCTGCTATTGTATACAAAGTCCTCTTGGTTCTGCTCACTTCACTCAGCATTTCTCTTCTCTTTTCTCATGCTTCCACTGCCACCTTATTTTTATTCAACACCTCCCCCCAATTGTACCTGAGGCTCCTACCATCACCCTGGATCATTCTAGAGCCCTCCAGGGGGCGGTATCGCTCACTTTGGGAACCTATAATAGTGCAGGTGTAGTTGAGTAGTGACTAAGGTTTCACCATTGCCACTGCTTTCATCAGCAACAACCTGATGGAACAGTGTGAGGGTAAAGTGAAACCTGTCTGGTTGTTACTGAGTTTTTCCCTTTGAGGTTACTGATACAGATGACGGAAGGGGAAGGGGAATGACTGGAATAGACTGATGTCCCTCACATCCCAAAGATGGGGGCAAGAGGAGAAAGTGTGCGATTCTTATCCCCTTTTTCTTCAGCAGTACAGCTTTTCGACCTTTTAAAAACTACCTGCTACATGTTACCACATTTATTTTAAGACCTAAAGAAAAGAAAACCTCTCTGAGGCAGCCCATTGAACTTTTGGATAACTATAATGGTAAGGAAACTTTTCCTTACATCCAGCAGAAATCTGTCTCTACAACTTCCAACCACTGTTTCTAGTTCTCTCTTCTATGGCCAGAAAAACAATCCCCTTTCCCAATGAAATCTATTTAAATGCTTTAAATCAACTATCAGATCCCATCTGTTTCCCCCATTAGTCTTCTCTAGGCTAAACAGTCCCAATTTCTTCAACTTATGCTGGGATGGAATGGTACCTAGTCCTCTCACCAACCTGTTTGCCTTCCTCTGGATACACTTCAGCTTGTCAATACCCTTAGAAAATGTGGTGCCTCCAGATATGGTCTTAAATGGCAGGAGTATTAGTTCTCTCATTCTGGACATGATGACTCTCCTAATGCAACCTAAATTCAAATGGGCTTTGGGAGCTATGTTATGCCATCTATTAAGACCTCTAAGTCTTTTCCACATGAATTATTTTCTAACCCTACTTCTTCATCTTGTGCTTATGAAATTGATTTTTAAAACCCAAATGTACTGTTATTTAGCATATGTTTCTAAGGCATTGCTTCAGTTTTGTGAAATTTTAGACCCTGGAAATATTTTTTTTCTTAATAGTATTTTTTTTTCCAATTACATGTAAAGATAGTTTTCAACATTCGTTTTTGTAAAATTTTGAGTTCTGAATTTTTCTCCCTCCTTTCCTCCCTCTCCTCTCCCTTCTCCTCCCCCCTCCCCAAGACAGCAAGCAATCTGATATGGGTTGTACATATCCAATCATGTTAAAAATATTTCTACATTATAGGTCTCAGAAATCTTGAAAGAGAAACAGAATAGATTAATGAAACTCTGGGAAATGGCAGGACCTGTGGGTGTGGAAGGATCTCTATCCCTTTCCTTTGTCCTTGAGAGAAACTTCCTACTGGCCAATGAGGGCATTGGACGGCTGAGAGCCACTGCAATGAAACTGAAGCTCCTTGTGCACAGAAGCAGATAAGAGCAAACTTTGGGGGATGGATCCCCTGTGCTTTCTGTAGCTGCAACCCAGGTGTGCACCTGTTGTGACTGAATTTGGCAGGGCAAGAAAGCTGAGGCCAGACTTTGGGGAGGAGAAGCAGCAGAAAAGCAGATTGAGCATTGGTTCAGAGGTTCAGAGCCGGTCATCCATCACCAAAGCTCAGAAGTGGTGAGCCAACAGCAGGAGATTGGCCATCTATGCTG